CGGGCTTCCCACGGGGTCACAGCCTCCTTCGGGCATCCACCTGCTCCGGCATGGGGTCCTCCATGGGCTGCAGGTGGATATCTGCTCCACCGTTGACCTCCATGGGCTGCAGGGGGACAGCCTGCCTCACCATGGCCTTCACCAGGGGCTGCAGGGGAATCTCTGCTCCGGCACCTGGAGCACCTCCTCCCCTCCTTCTTCACTGGCCTTGGTGTCTGCAGACTGTTTCTCTCACATATTCTCACTCCTCTCTTTGGCTGCAGTTGCAGTTGTGGAGCAACTTTTTCCCCTTCTTAAGTGTGTTATCCCAGAGGTGCTACCACTGGGATTAGCTCGGTCTCGGCCAGCGGTGGGTCCCTCTTGGAGCCGGCTGGCATTGGCTCTATTGGACATAGGGGAAACTTCTAGCAGCTTCTCACAGAAACCACCCCTGTAGCTCCCCCGCTACCAAAACCTTGCCATGCAAACCCAACACAAGGTCAGCGCTTTCTTCCAACTGGATTCAAACTGAAATAGCAGCTGATGTACTAGGTTTCTGTGGGAGTGGCTGCTATCATAAAATTTTTGTTTTGTAACCTTCTAAGACAGAACAGGTTTGTGCAGAATATCATACAATGGGACAGGGCTGGAATAAGATAAGGCTCATCACATAACAGTGAAAATTTTCGTAAGAGTATTTTATCTAGGCTGTTCCATTTTGTTTCCTTTATACACAAAGGAAAATAAAGAAGTGAAACTGTTGACTTCTTTGAGATTGTGTTTGATTTGCCTAGCTGGCTCTCATTTCAAAGAACTTCAGAAATAATTACATTGCTTGTTTAGAAAGATTTGATATATAATGTCTATTTTTTTCTTATTTCACTTGAGAATTCCTGAAGAGTTTTATAGATATTTATTTCAAGATTTCAAAACTTAAATGGGTATGCTGATTCTTTGATAAACGCATCCTTTATCCCAAATGTTCATTAGACATTAAAGTTGAATACGCCTTAATAAAAAGAAGCAATCAGTGTCTATCATTGCTTCCAATCCTGATGCTCAGCTCTCAAGATTTTTTTCTTGTGTTATAAAATAATTTAATTATTTATTGAGGCCCCAAGTTTATCTGAAATTTATACCTACCTTAAAAATACATACGTAATAGTCAGTATTACCATTCACTGTTTATATACACAAAAGGGGGGGGAAAATGGCATACCCTTCTTTTTCTTTCCCTTACAGGTCACTTGAAGTGTGACTATAACCTCACCTAATAAAAACTAATGAAGGGAATGGAAAAATAAAATACTCTCCCAGCTCCTAGAAATCAATTTCTTACACTGCCAGTCTCTGCCACTCAGCACTTCATTTCCGACCATCATACACAGTTCAGAGAAGGTCTCTCAAATTCAGTAATTTGCTCCCAACTTCTTATTGATGAAAATTGTTTATGAAAGATGTAAGCAATCATAAAACAGAAATTAAACAAATTACTTCCACTATTGAAATTAGTTAAGCTTTTACATAGTTTAAATCTTATCACCTTTAATTTGAATTTTTTTGTTTTATGCCTTGAATCAAATCTTGTGCAGGCGTGAAACATGCCACATTAATATGTTCACACTGGCTATAAGAAGCAAAGGAGCAAACTGTGTCCCCTCTGCAGCTGCAGAGGATGTTGCTACATCAGTGCTGCTCTGGTTCCATTGCAAGATGCTAAGGGTCCACAAAAAGTAGCAACCTATCCCACTCCCGTAAGTGACAGACCCCTGTTCGACTAAGCATGAACAAAAGATTCAGAGAATGGAGAGATTCCTGACAGTGAAAAGTGATGCAGAAAAAATGAACTCACAGCCACCATGGCTGTTATTTAGGCAATCTCCCAAACACAGCAGAACTCTCCATGCTTTGGTCCAGAGCTTTGGATTACCAATATTTAAGTAGGATTTTACTACACTA